TAGACTAGACTATAGACAAGACTATAGACTAAACTATAGACTAGACTATAGACTAGACTGTAGACTAAACTATAGACTAGACTATAGACTAGACTATAGACTAGACTATAGACTAGACTATAGACTAGACTATAGACTAGACTATAGACTAGACTATAGACTAGACTATAGACTAGACTATAGACTAGACTATAGACTAGACTATAGACTAGACTATAGACTAGACTATAGACTAGACTATAGACTACACTATAGACTAGACTATAGACTAGACTATATTCCAAGCAATTAACTACACTATAGACTAGACTATAGTCCAAGCTATTAACTACACTATAGTCCATTCTATAGACTGGACTTTCATCTACACTATAGACTATAAACCAGACTATAAACTAGACTATAGACTAGACTATAGACTAGACTATAGACTAGACTATAGTCCGGACTATAGACTGGACTGTCGTCTGTTCAGACTATATGGTTCAAAATAGTTTATAGTTCAAACTTTAGACTGGACTATCGTTCTGGTTATAGTCAAGAATATAGACTAGACTCTATAAACTATAGTCCAGTTTATAGACTGGACTATCATCCACGTTATAAACTAGACTATAAGCTGTACTCTAGTCCAGACTACTGAATGGAATATAGTCCATTGTTTATATGTATATTTATTGTCCACAAATTATAGAAAAGACTACATATTTGTGTAATTTTTTTTCAAGTGTAATCGTATAATTGTAGAAAGAAGTTCTTTCTGCTGATTCTTTTCAAATGCGTTTTTACTGTTTGTCTATTTAAAGTACTAAGTAGTCTCTGTATGTTGTGTCCATTTTGGCGTTATAGCAGATTTTTGTTTCCACATTGGTTTGCTGGACTTTCTCATGTCACACTTTTATCTTATGGTTGATGATTGTTATATGTTTGTTTTCTGAGATTTCGTTTTTTCCATTACTTCATTTGTGTCATTAATTTCTTTAGTTTCTGTTATTAATTCAATTATTTTCTTGGACTTCTTTTATCGTTTGTTTTAATTACAAAGCTTGTCTAGAGTGTGAATGTCTGTGGACAATGCATATTGCCCAGCAGTTCGGGAAGACTAAGATTTTAACTATAATTACCATTCGATGACTAAATGATAGCTCTCTAAAGTACTAAAAGGTATAAATTGATTACATTTCAGATTACTTACTGACAAAAAAGCGATGATTGACTTCTTGCTAGATGAGCTGAAACGTTGCGAAAGTTACACTGATGTTATTTGTAAAACTACAGGGCTGTCAATGTTCTATTTTTTCATTGCGGCCATGGTCAAGTCAACTAGAGTAGATTTATTTGAATGTTTTCATTGGGAATTATTTTATTGTTTACAGTTAACTTAGTATTGTAATGCATACTAAGTATAGATATGTACTTCTAAGGCTTTTGAGAGAGTTTGTGATTAACTGTGTAAAGAAGTTCATACATATTTATCTGTCTGTGTTGTATTAAACAAAATTTCATTAAAATAATTAAATTGTAATTATTTAGATTCAACTATATTTTAATGAAATTTTAATTGTATTTTTATTAGGGGTTTCAGTTACTTATGAAGATGAAGAGGAAATTAATTTATTTTACACAATTTGTCTTTTTATTTGTTAAACTTTGTATTAATGATTTTAATTAAAAATTATATGTCAATTTTTGTGGGCACTTTCTTAAATTTAAATTTTATTGTACGTAACAAATTTAGCGTTTATTTTGTGGGGTTTTTCCCAGACTGCATAATTTTTTGTTTTTTAATTTAATAATTATTTTTTAAATTTAGTTTTTAAATTACAATCGTGGTAATTATGAGTTTTTTGTTTGTTTTTTAAATTATGAGGGTGCTATTATAAAGAGGCTTTATTCAACAGTTAAAGTTTAAACGTATGTTTAGTAAAACTTAGTCTGAACTATAGCATAGTCTGTGGTCTACAGTTCAAACTATAGACTAGACTACAGTTCAGACTATCGACTAGACTATAGACTAGACTATATACTAGACTATAGACTAGACTATAGACTAGACTATAGACTAGACTATAGACTAGACTATAGACTAGACTATAGACTAGACTATAGACTAGACTATAGACTAGACTATAGACTAGACTATAGACTAGACTATAGACTAGACTATAGACTAGACTATAGACTAGACTATAGACTAGACTATAGACTAGACTATAGACTAGACTATAGACTAGACTATAGACTAGACTATAGACTAGACTATAGACTAGACTATAGACTAGACTATAGACTAGACTATAGACTAGACTATAGACTAGACTATAGACTAGACTATAGACTAGACTATAGACTAGACTATAGACTAGACTATAGACTAGACTATAGACTAGACTATAGACTAGACTATAGACTAGACTATAGACTAGACTATAGACTAGACTATAGACTAGACTATAGACTAGACTATAGACTAGACTATAGACTAGACTATAGACTAGACTATAGACTAGACTATAGACTAGACTATAGACTAGACTATAGACTAGACTATAGACTAGACTATAGACTAGACTATAGACTAGACTATAGACTAGACTATAGACTAGACTATAGACTAGACTAGACTATAGACTAGACTATAGACTAGACTATAGACTAGACTATAGACTAGACTATAGACTAGACTATAGACTAGACTATAGACTAGACTATAGACTAGACTATAGACTAGACTATAGACTAGACTATAGACTAGACTATAGACTAGACTATAGACTAGACTATAGACTAGACTATAGACTAGACTATAGACTAGACTATAGACTAGACTATAGACTAGACTATAGACTAGACTATAGACTAGACTATAGACTAGACTATAGACTAGACTATAGACTAGACTATAGACTAGACTATAGACTAGACTATAGACTAGACTATAGACTAGACTATAGACTAGACTATAGACTAGACTATAGACTAGACTATAGACTAGACTATAGACTAGACTATAGACTAGACTATAGACTAGACTATAGACTAGACTATAGACTAGACTATAGACTAGACTATAGACTAGACTATAGACTAGACTATAGACTAGACTATAGACTAGACTATAGACTATAGACTAGACTATAGACTAGACTATAGACTAGACTATAGACTAGACTATAGACTAGACTATAGACTAGACTATAGACTAGACTATAGACTAGACTATAGACTAGACTATAGACTAGACTATAGACTAGACTATAGACTAGACTATAGACTAGACTATAGACTAGACTATAGACTAGACTATAGACTAGACTATAGACTAGACTATAGACTAGACTATAGACTAGACTATAGACTAGACTATAGACTAGACTATAGACTAGACTATAGACTAGACTATAGACTAGACTATAGACTAGACTAGACTAGACTAGACTATAGACTAGACTATAGACTAGACTATAGACTAGACTATAGACTAGACTATAGACTAGACTATAGACTAGACTATAGACTAGACTATAGACTAGACTATATACTAGACTATAGACTAGACTATAGACTAGACTATAGACTAGACTATAGACTAGACTTTATACTACAATATAGACTAGATTATAGACTAGACTACAGACTAGACTATAGACTGGACTATGGACTAGACTATATACTAGACTATAGACTAGTCAATATTATATGCTAGAATATAGGCCATACTGTATACAACATTATAGTTCAGACTATACAATAGACTATAGCCTAAAATTACGTTCAAACTATAGACAAGACTGTAGTCCATACTAAAGACTAGACTAAACACTTATGAGAGGGTGCTGACTGTAGTAAAATATAAATTATAAAAATCCATTAAGTAATTTTCGACTCTTTAATTTCCAATTTAAAAACAATTTCTGTTTTTTATTTAAACAAAACAACTCCAGATCTTGAGAAAATAAAACATGAACTTGTACAAATTTTCAGTTGTATGGAATAAATACATAAATATTTCTTAATTTATTTCCAAACAATAAAAATTATACTAAATTATAAAATTTTAATATTTTTTCTACATAAAGGAATTTGTATCTGGTTTTTGTTATAATAAATTATATCAATAACAAACCATTATTTATTTTTTCTTTATTAAATAAAAAAAATAAAATCGAAAACATTGATCTCTTCTAGGCTAAATTGTATATAAAATTTTATTATAGCAAAAATTGTTTTAATCATTTAGCAATAATTTTATTTCGTAAGATAAATATGAACAGAAAAGAAAAAACTTGAATAAACAATTTTCTTCATATACAATACTTATAGACAATACAGTCAGTCTATCTTGAATAAATAAATAGTTGTTTAATTGGAAACTGAAAAAAATGTAAATGGAATTATGAATACAAAGTAATTTTTTGTATACCCTGCTTAACAAGTAATGGGACTTATGAAGAACGTCAACCTTTATGCAACATTCGAAACGTACTAGTTGGGATGCCACTAAAAATTCAAAAGTCAATAGAAATTTAACTTTTCTCTGAAAATTTGATTCTTTCTAAACATGTATTTTACTCTTTTGAGGGCAAATCTAAGAAGTAATCATAAATGCCTGCAATAACTACACTCTGTCTGGTTTAGTTATTACTATTATTATTGTAATTAGTACAAACAACAACAAACCCCAACTACAAATACTAAAAATAAAAAATTATATATTCTCAAGCAATTTTGCATATTTTTTATAGACAAACAACAAATGAGTCATTAAAATCCTAAAGATACAAATTATTATGGCAGAAATGGCAAATACACGACACGTTACACACTTCACTCCACTCCACTCACTGACACACAACATAATTGACTTTAATAGCCTTCAATAATACAAAACTATAAAAGAAAAAAGAAACTCTATACTAATTCCTTTACAACTTATTGATTAAGAAAAAAAAATTAAAATTGAAAAATTAACAATTTGTAATTTTTTTCCTTCTTTGCAGCGGAAAGCGACCTTTTAACATTCGCACAACGTAAACAACATTATGATTGTGACAAGTCATATATAAAGGAACTCTTTACTGCCGATACCCGACCACGTAGTGTACGTGTTCTTTATGAAGATGCCGGTAAAGTGACACCACCTCCACCATCTTCTACGGCTCAGTCATCGGCGGCTGGTTCTCCCATACAATTTGCATCCGGTCATGTTTTAGGTGATGGCAGTAGTAGTAACGATGGCATGCTTGATATGACCAATGCTGGTGGTACAAATCATCATCATCATCTGGCTGCTGGCAGCGATGATCTGTTGTTGTGTTCATCGGCATTTGGTGTAAATACGAATCGTATGATGCGTACACGTATTGATGCTGAAATTGAAATAAGATTGGTAAGTCAAGTGAATAGCTAGTACATAGTTTATTGTATATACATATATAGGGTGTTATAGTTAAGAGGTGTTAAAAGGATTTGTTAAAAAAGGAATATATCTACAGAAAACAGCAAATATTCCATAGAAAAAGTAGCTTGAAATCCAACAACTTTCCTATAGAAATAGCTGCTTAAAAAGCAAAAACTTTTTTATAGAAAAAGCTGCTTGGAAACCGAAATCTTTTCTATAGAAAAAGTTTCTGAAATGTAAGAATTTTTCTACTGAAAAAGTTGCTGGAAATGCAGCATCTGTTCTAGAAAAAGTTTCTTGAAAAGCAGCAACTTTTCTAGAAAAAGTTGCTTGAAATGCAACGACTTTTCTATGAACTTTTGTATGCAATAAGTTGCTTGAAAGACAACTTTTCCGTAGAATAATTTGCTTAAAATGCAACAAATTTTCTATTAAAAAGAATGCTTAAAGTGGGACAACTTTTCTTTAGAAAAGTTAGCTTGAATGGCAGCAACTTTTCTATAGAAAAATTTTTTTGAAAAGCAACAGCAACAGCTTGAATAGCAACAACTTTTCTATAGAAAAAGTAGCTTGAAAAGAGCAACAACTTTTCTATAGAAAAAGTTGCTTGAAAAGCAACAACTTTTCTATAGAAAAAGTTGCTTGAAAAGCAGCAACTTTTCTATAGAAAAAGTTGCTTGAAAAGCAACAACTTTTCTATAGAAAAAGTTGTTTGAAAAGCAGCAACTTTTCTATAGAAAAAGTTGTTTGAAAAGCAGCAACTTTTCTATAGAAAAAGTTGTTTGAAAAGCAGCAATTTTTCTTTAGAAAAAGTTTCTTTAAGAAAAATTTGCTTGAAAAGCAGCACCATTTCTATAGAAAAAGTTGCCTGAAATACATCAACTTTTCTACAGAAAAAGTTCCTTGAATGGCAGCAACTTTTTCAAAGAAACAGTTGATGATGCCTTGTATTGTGTAGGGTACATTAGTTTCATTATAGACGAATTTAGCACACTATATCACATTAGTTAATTCACACCCTGTTTTAAAATGTTTTTTTCTGATCTGTAATACTTTGATTTCAACATATATGGCAATAACATGTCAAACTATCTAGTTTATTGGGCAAATCGTAGACATTTAATTTAATTTACAGTAATAAAGAAAAGTTTATCTACAGTTGAAATTTTTAATTCGTCATAAAAGTAAAATTTAAACAGAACCGACTTCAAAATAAGAATAACTTGAAATTTTGATATTTAAGTCTAAATGTTTTCTTTACGAAAACTTTTCTACAACACTGTACAAATAACCTTACTTTACCTATTAAGGTAAGTAAACCTATTAATGGTTAAATGAAGATTCTTTTGTATTTTTTTTTCTCAGACGACTACTTTTCTCCAGCACTGTATGAATTGCATGTGTGTATATGCTTTGATTTCTACATTTAAACTGGTATTTAACGGTTTTTCTATTTCAATTACTCTTCAGGTATTTGTCAGTGTTTGTACACGGCAATGGGTGTGTGAGTCCGTTGTCTGCTAAAAACCATCATTTTCCATTTAACAAGTTTTTTTTTCTATTTAGCTGTAATTTGCAGCAATGTATTTTACAGACTGCTGACCAAGCGACCGACAAACCAAGCAATAAATATAATGTTGTAATCATATATTTTTTCAATTTTTCTGTGCAAAAATTCAACAAAAATTATCACTTTATGGTAACAGGTATTTAAACTTTTCAGACATGATTTAGTGAAAAAAAGTTGAAATAATTGGTTTGCAAACAAACATGATTATTTTCACACAAAATACTCGCATTAAGAGGAAACTATTTGCAAAATAATTTCAAATAGCAGCATGACATTCATGAGGCAAAAGTGTGTGAAATAAAAGGATCAAAAGAAATTATGAAAATTTTAATATTTAATAAAAATTTGTTTTATTTTAAATAAAAAAATTATACATTTAATGAAACTTTATTTTAATAAAACGTATAAAATTATTACAACTTAAAAACAACTTTTAAAAAGAAACTCTTTAATCACTTTTAATGAGTAGAAAGAAGTAAAAGGTCATTAAAAGTAATTAAGAGGTGAATCAAACTAATATAGCAGTAAATTGTATTTAAATTTATGCAATCTCAATGTAACAGCTCTAAACAAAGCTAAAGTACTGCACTAAGTAGTTGTTATCTTTAACGATGATTTGAAAAGTATTAGAAATTCTTGCTAAAACAAACAAACACAGTTAGAAGGTAAAATCATTGTTGCCTGTTAGCTTGATTTCTTTCTAGCACCAAAAGAATCTCTAGCTGATGCTGTCGAGTTATTCTGTTCTGAGGGGCTGTTGTAAGAAAGAAGCTCAAGTTTGTTTGGTTTTTTGTTTTGTTTCTCTCTGTAATCTTTAGAGTCATAAATATTAAGCTGAACTACAAGTTTCTTTCGCAGCACATACACATTAATATGGTGGAGTACTAGAACGTGTGTATAAATATGTATATTTTAGATTGTTTGTATGAACTAAAGTTGGCAAAGTTCGTAGAATTAATGTGTGGTCTCAAATAATGACGACAACAACCACGACAACTCTGTGCTGTAGTAAAAATAATTTTATTTAACAGCAACAGAATACTACAATGGACTAAGAGCGGTATTTTGCTTTAATATACACTGAGACAAATCAAATAGCAGCAATTTTTCTTTAAAAAAAGAAAGCTTTAACAGTAATTTTTCCATAGAAAAAGAAAACTTTAACAGCTGCAATATTTCTATAGAAAAAAGCTTTAACAAGAACCATTTTTTTTACAAAAATGAATGCTTTAACAAGAGCGATTTTTCTATAGGGAAAGTAGCTTTGACAGCAGCAATTTAGAAAATGTATAAAAAAGCTTTAACGGCCGCAGTTTTTCCATAGAAAACGAAAGCTTCAACAGCAGCAATTTTTCTTTAGAAAAAAGTTTTAACGGCCGCAGTTTTTCCATAGAAAACGAAAGCTTTTTTCTTTAGAATAAGAAAGCTTTAACAACAGCAATTTTTCTATAGAAAAGGAAACAGCAGTAATATAGCTTTAACTTAAAAAAAAGCTTTAATAGCAGAAGGCTTAAACATTAGCAATTTTTATATAGAGAAATGTAGCTTTAATAACAGCAATTTTTCTATAGAAAAAGAAAGCTTTAACAGCAATTTTTCCATAGAAAATGAAAGCTTTAACAGCAATTTTTCCATAGAAAAAGAAAGCTTTAACAGCAATTTTTCCATAGAAAAAGAAAGGTTTAACAGCTGCAATTTTTCTATAGAAAAAAAGCTTTAACAGGAACCATTTTTTTTTACAAAAAAGAAGCTTTAACAAGATCAATTTTTCTATAGGGAAAGTAGCTTTGACAGCAGCAATTTTTCTTTAGAAAAGGAAACAGCTGCAATATAGCTTTAACTTTAAAAAAGCTTTAATAGCAGAAGGCTTAAACATCTGCAATTTTTATATAGAGAAATGTAGCTTTAATAGCAGCAATTTTTCTATAGATAAAGAAAGCTTTAACTGCTTTATCAGTTTTTATAGAAAATTAAAGTTTTAACTGCAGAAATGTTTCTATATGAAATGAAAGCTTAAATAACAGCAATTTTCTATAGAAAAACGTACCTAAAATTATCCATAAATAAATAAAACTAATTTTTCGAGGTGTATTAAACAGATTTCATTCCTTTAGAACTCTGCTGCCAAAGGCAACCTAAACAAACTCCGAAATGTGTGTATGAACCAAAAAAAAAAACAAAATAATGGTTTGTTTGCATGGTTGACTCTTACTGACTGACAGACAGACGATTCTGTATGTGTATTGGTCAGGCGACATTTTACTTAAGAGTCTTTGCCAACAACGTATGGGGAGGTACATAAATATGTTTCTTACAATAGACAAATACTAAGTAATGGCTCAAGTAAATATTACTAACTACTCACTACTCGTAGTAAGGAGTACAAATCTTTAAGCTTTAGGCTTAATATTTTTTTTTTTTTTTTTTTGCTGAAACAAAAGCTGTTGTATTCATTATAGTTTTCTGAAGTGACACAAACCAGACCAGCCTTGAAAAATTGTTGGTGTAAAGAGTATAGGGGGGAAAAACCACAATTTTTTTTCTTGTTTAAGTAAGATTTTGCGTTCATAATTTTTTTTTTTTCAAAATTCTTATGAAAAAAAATAATGTTCTTCGAAATAAGTACGTGTTGCACTTTTATGTTTTACATGTGTTTTAAGAAAATATTTTAAATATTTTTTAAATTAATGGATTCTGTGGAAAAAGTAAAGTATACATTAGGGGGACAAGTTTTCTTTTGTGTTTTGCTTTCCTGCTTAAGAGAAATCTAAGAGAGAGTTATAAAGTTTTCATTGCCTAAAATTAGACTGCAGTATAATATTTCAAAGTTAAAATATACAAATTTTAACTTTAAAATATATAAAGGCATTTTAAATACCGAGTTTTGTATTAAAAATATATTTCTTTATATGGCCGTCCGGCCGGCCATATTTTTTAATTAATTGCTGCAATTAATTTAATATTTATCTCTATAATAAGTTTAATTTTTTAGTATGTGTATTAAAATTCCAGTTTCTTAAAAATTGTGTAACACTAATAAACTAAATTAACATTTTAATTCGTTTACTGCATTAGAGAGCATCATACAGTTGTGGTTTTTCATAGTAAAAAAATCATAGAAATCTTACAACAGACCTAAACAGGCAGACGACACTGAAAGACAGTGAGTTTGTCTTAATATAAAATAGTATTTATCTAATGTATTCGATAACAAAAGACCATAAAAACTAAATACCATAATTAAAATATAAAATTTATATTAAACAAGTTTAAAAAAAGACACATAGGAGGAGGTAAAGCATACAAGCAGGCGGGAAAAAGTATGAAGATAGAGTTGCTGTAGCCATAAATGACTAAATGTGGTTAAACGCTAAAAGCCATTCAATAAATTTGTAGCAAACAAACAGTTATTGACTTT